GGTGGGGCAGCGGGGGGTGCGCCCCCGGATGGAAGTCCGAGCCGCTGCCTTCGGGGTTTTGCCCTCCACGGCCTGTTCTCCAGGTGGGGGTCAAAACGGAAAATGTGAAGCGTTGAAGCGAAGAACAATGTCAGAGAAACAGGGGGCGGATGCAGGAAAAATACAACCTCTTCTCTCTCTCTCTCTCTCTCTCTCTCTCTCTCTCTCTCTCTCTCTCTCTTACTCTCTCCCTCTATCTCCCCCTCTCTCTATCGTCCATCCCTCTCTCTCCCCTCTCTCTCCCTTTTATCTCTCCCACTCTCTCGCCCTCTCTCTCCCTCCTCTCTCCTCTGTCCTCTCTCTCACACATACACATTTGTTAAAGAATCAAATGTACTCTCTTTATAAATTGATTTTATCTTGGAGGCCGTTGCTTGACATTAATGACTTCATGCACATACACTATCACACAGGGTACGGGCAATAATTAACCGTCACTCCCACGATAATAAACATGTACTAGAGTACGAACTAGTTGTCTAGCCCTTGACGCGGCCTGCATCACTAATCTAACCACTAAATTCAAATATCAAGCTTAATGGGTGCTTGTTTGTAATGTTATACGCGATCCAGAGGTGTGTTTGTTTCAATAGAATGAATACAACTAGAAAAATATTCTTGCGGTGAGCGGGGATGTCCATGCCCTCACTGTAATGCGCGCACTGAGTGTCAACTTAATCGCTTTTGGGCAGATTAATTCCGATGGTGAGCACAGACGCGCTTGTATGGAGGTGAATTGAAACGCCGGCAGCTCTGAACGTAGAGTCCTCTTCTCCTGAATCTCCGCAAGAGTAGTACCGTAAGAAACGGGCTGCGGGACAACATTAAGTGCACTTCGGGACTAATTGCAATAGACGACGTGCCAGGAAATAAAAAAAAAATCAATCAAAAAACTCCTCCAGGTAAGCTGGTCGTAAGTGTTTAGCGTAGAAATCTGATTCGTCAGTGAAAGCTGTCCCTTCACTCCCTACCAATAGAGGCCGCGGGAGTTTACTGCGTCAACAAAGCGAGGGTTCAAAGGAAAGACGCAGTATCTGGCACCCCCTCCACCGCACCCGGCGGCCGCCGCCCGCTGGCCGTGTGGTCAAACGGCGCGGAGCGAGGCCACCGGAAAGCGCGGCGACGTCCAAGTGGAGGCAGCCGCCGGCGCCTTGCGCCCACGTGGCGGAGCGGCGGTTGACGTAGGGCCTCCGGGCCGGGTTGCCCGGGCTGCCGCGCCAGCGCGCGCCCGCACCACACACGCCGCCCCGCACAGCGCGCGCGCGCCGCGCCGTCTGCGTTCACTCCCCCCCTGGCTCCTCCCACTCCTCTCCTGCATAGGGCACGTTCGAATTCCTGTGAAGGAATCGGTTCTGGAATCGATCCCAGAATTCGAAATGTTGGAGTCGATTCTAGAATCGAATTGAAAGAAAAGAAGTCCGATTGGCCTTAAACGAATTTTTGAATCACATTTACATGAGAACATCATTCAACGTAATTATCGATACCGGAATCGAGCAATTACTATGTAATAAAACACAAGTTGTTGATTAAATTTAATAGTAATAATAATAATAATAATAATAATAATAATAATAATAATAATTAACTACGTGGCCGAAAAAATATTATGGATGAAGTAATACAATCGAAATAAAGTAAAAGTATGAAACAATATATTAATAGAACGTAAATGACAAATGGAATAGATTATAACACCAAAAATAATATGAACTCATCAATGAAATCGTAACAGATCCAAACAAACTCTTCTTTATACAGCGCGATCCAGACAGGAAAAGATTTTTATTGAGATGTTAAAAGTGTAATTTGAACAAAGATGTATGATTTGTACGAAGCGGAAGGTGGAGACATGGTGGGAGGTAGGATTCTAACACATCATTGATTTAATAATAATAATAATAATAATAATAATAATAATAATAATAATAATAATAATAATAATAACAATAATTTATTATTATAAATATTATAACAAAGTAATAACTTCGAAAACAAACAAAAAACGCAGGGATATAAAAAAAACGAAAGACTTTATTTGATTAGTTTCTGGCGTTTTGGAATCGATTCAATCAAGAAACGGAGGCGAAGGAATCGGCATTCATGACTCGAGTTTGTTCTCAATTATTCACCAAAAACAAAAACAAAAAACAATTCGGATTGCGTGTTGTTGTCTTTTAATCTCCCGGTGGATCTGCTCTTTCATGAAACTGTCAAAGCTTCATCTACTTACATCGAGAAGAAAATAGACATTTAGCAATCTGCCCTTCTCTTAGAACACTTTTGGAAGTGATCCAGAAAAGCCAAATGTATTTTACTTCTCACCAACAATTATGATGACTGATCCACGGCAATCGTTATGATTATCCACGGTTGAATTTAAGCAGTAATTATTGCGGAAAATCCGAAGTCAAACTTGCTATTTAAATGGTTTTCTTTCTTTCTTTTTCTTCCTTATATTCAAGGTCCCTCAGCAACGAGAGTCGTTTAAACTTCCTCAAAACCCCAATGCCTCTCGTTTTGCGACTAAGACTTCTGCAAAAGAAGTACGTAACATTAAAATCGTGCTCTAGAAGAGAATAACTGTTGCTGACAATATTTTCTGGGGACTGTAGCTTCGTACTACAGCTCCACTGCCCTCCAAAGGATTTCCTTAGAACCTTCCTATCAGTACCTTTATGTTACGACTGTTACTTTTGTTTTCACAAAAATTGGGCTCTAGATAAAATTTATTTTATATTTATTTCACAACAGGGAAAAAATTCAAAATGTTCGTTACACATACCTCAGTTTTCATTATTCAGTATAAGATTTTCAACTTATATTTATCAACTACTTGTAACTTCAAGACAGTTGCATAATGAGTATGGAGCAAATGCGAATTATGGAAATTCACTCGAAGCAGAAAACGCTCTTTTATCTCAAAAGGTAGAAATGTAAAATATTTTACTGTTTCAACCCCACGCAAAAAGAAGTTTTTAACTTGTCGAACAAACAAACAACATTATTTCATACAAAAACATGAATGATAGATCTAAGTCATCGAAACATTGCGATCAATGGAGAAAGCTGAAGTGGATAATGCAAAAATTGCCCGAAATTGACCGCCAAAGTTTTCTCACTAAAGGTCTGGATTTGGTAGTGCTGCGCTCTGTCCGCATTGATACAAACCAGTGGAGAGAGTGTTCGTGCTTCGATGGCCACGAGCGCTAGGATCGTAAAGAAGTGCATTCGAAATGCTCTTTATAGTGGGAAATTCGACGCTGAAGCGGGCTGAAGCAGGGGTTGATCCAGAGGTGAATGTTTTCGTCGAATACGTCATATTACAGATTTTGTAAAATGTCGCAGGCTACATTCAGCTCATGCTGCGATACGATTTTATTCTTTTTTGTGATAATCCGAAAATAGTTTTGCTTGAAAGTCTCATGCCAAGTTAAAATTAATAGTTACTGAACATTTTTAGGAGGGGGGGAGGATTTCGCTCATTTCCCTTCCCGTGGATTCGCGCGTGGCTAAAGAGATGAAGTAAATAATGAGAGGCACGAAAATCCTTTCCGACTTATTTCAGAATAATTTCACCAATTGGAAAATGGAAAAAAATATGGTGCCTCATAAACACACAATAAAATGTCTCTTTCTTTTTTAAATTGTTGCAATGTAGACCGCCTTTTTCTTAAAGCGCCCACTATCACCACAACTTTTATATTTACTAATTTTAAACGCAATTTTCAATGAAATTGAACGGGAACCATGAGAGACTCCGGCCAAATGAGGAGTGTTAATGTTTCGCTAGATACCCAGGATCTTGAGAAAAGACAAATACAATTAAACAGTTCGGTTTTGACTGCAAAATACAAACCGACAACTAGTTAATTATTAATTCAGACAAAGTGTGGAATGTTAAATTCATGACGCATATCACCAGCCCAACCAGTGAATGTTGGAAGATCGCTGTTTATGATATACCCACGTAACCATCCGTCTTGTTACTTTGTTCGCTTTGATTGACGGCATCTTTTATTTTATTTTTGGCTCATTAATGCTATTATAACCAAAGAAACAGCATTCAATAAACAAACATGGATACAGTAAAGTTAAATTATACTTTCATTATATTGTTCTTTCGGCACTAGCACTGAGTATGAGAATTCAGTCGGTACTCGCAGTAAGAGAACATGCGGAATAACACGATCAAATATTTGCATTTTCAGTGTTCTTATTTTTTATTTTCCCCACCTTTCTGCATTTCTAACGACACCATAGACACTTATGAAACCTTAGGCTTCTGAGGCGGCGCTGTGATCAAATTTCCTGACACGGTATCGCTGCGTCCTAGGCGCAGTTGCCAATGTGTCGACCGCCATTTTGCGACCTTCCTCAGAGCGAAATGCGCGGGGGTGCGCTGCGCACGGGTTCATGAAGAATGAGGTTCCCATACGCGTCTTCTGGCTGGTCTGACGATCTACCAATGCGGAGAAAGCATGGGCCAATGGGGCAACTCATGGCTCATGGTTTGACGGCAATCGCTTCTTTTACCTTTTCGGTCGCCAGAGGTCTTTCCTGGTCACAAGGTGGGTGTAGGGGAAAAAATGGGTTGGCTCTTTCAAGGAGTCATAGACAAAATTGGACAAGCTCTTGAGCCGCTTTAACATCAAGACGGGCAGTGAAGAACGGGCGAAAGCTAGTAAACGTTTAAGATTGTGTCCCATCTCTTACATCAGGGATGTACGAGATCCGATGCAACAGTAACATCGAGGCGAACCATTGAGGAACTCTAGCTCTCAGGGAACGCACCGCTATTACAAGTATTATAATAATACAAATAAATCGGCGCTACCTTTCCACGTATGGAAAACGGGCCACTCCATTCCGTTTTACAATTCTCAAGACCACTGGGAACCGAGGAGGGTAAAAACTAAGATTTCATTCCAAGCGAACTGGCTGCTTCTGACATTTCTCAAATGTACTTTGGACGATGTCCATCGACTAGTGGTCGAACTGTGGCGTATTTTTATGATGCTGCCAACTTGGATTCATTCCCGAAAGGTTAGAAGGCCAAAGATCAGATTCTTAAAGAGAATATCTCCTTTCGTTTTCGTAGGATGTGATATTTTTGAAACTAGATGTTAATTTTTTATTATTTCTAAAAGTAATGCATCAGAAAGTTTAAGAAACACAACAATAATATAATTAAGTAGCTAATTCCGTTTCTTCAAATCAATATTTTTATTACAGTAAGTTTAGAGCTTATTTGAAGGTTTTTATTAGTGGAACAAAAAGAAGACCAAAACGTGGCAAAAAGGGAAATGTAATAAACATAGTATCAGTTTCCCTAAAGATGGGTTGGGTGTCATTGAGGCAATGAGCAATTTTCTAGGCATTACAATGTCATTTCTTCCAATTACTGCGCGCATTGGAATTTAGCATTAATAAAGGAAATATGTTTAAGTATTTTTCCCGAGCTTCTGATGTATTTAACGAAACAATAGACATTTCTCACGCGTCCAGTGTGTGCATAGTTTTCTTTTAATCTCTTGGCGCATTAGAAAATTGTAATATATATTCTAAGCAGTGTAATGAACTCACGTCGCCAGTCACAGCAGTCTAGCCGAATTTGCTGCGCAATATCCTGGAGGATATTTCGTTTTTTTGCATTTTCTCGTGAAATCTAAACTGTTTTATTGTTTTGTATTTTTCTGTAGATATTGTGTATCTGACGAAACTATCGAAACCTCTCACATGGCCATAGGCTGCTTCGTTTCTCTCATTTTTTCGTTCATACGAAATTAGTAATGTAGATAACGAAATATGTAGTACATTGCATTCAGTTCTGAATTTGCATTCTCTTTTTGCAGGAGCATTCCTGATCCCATTTGCTATAATGCTGATTCTTGAAGGAATACCTCTGTTCCTCATTGAACTTGGTATCGGCCAGAGAATGCGGCTGGGATCTCTTGGTGTTTGGAACACTATTCATCCTTGGTTGGGTGGCATCGGCATTGCTAGTTGTATTGTTACATTCTTTGTAGCACTGTACTACAATGTCATCATCACTTGGTGTTTTTATTATCTCTTCAATTCTTTTAAGGTAAGTGCGAAGCGTGGATGAATGAAGCATGCCATTTTGTGGAAAAATATCTAATTAATGACACTAATAAGCTGTAGATCTGGAAGAGGAAATAATTATTTTAAATCTTCTAAGCATGTTTTATAACTGTCTGACTTTTTCAGAACCCTCTTCCTTGGGCAGAGTGTCCACAAGAGATAAGTAACGGAACTCTGGGGCCTGTACGTGAGTGTGAGTTATCTTCAGAGACTGCATATTTTTGGTATCGAGTGACTTTAGATGCAGCTCCAAATATGGAGGATTCAGGTGGAATAAAGTGGTGGATCTTATCTCTACTTCTTTTGGCATGGATTGTGGTATTCTGCATTGTTATGAAAGGAATACAATCATCAGGAAAGGTACAGAAATCTGTTATTAAAGGAACACAGATGATATTGAAAAGAAATTAACTATTACGAGACAACTACATTAAGATCTAGGTGAATAATATATTGTTGTACTTAGTTCGAGCAAATCGTGTATTTCAGACCTTTTTAAAGAATAAGGTACGCCAATTTCAGAAAGATATAGATTTTTTCTGCTGTAGACTCAAAAAGGTTATTCATCAATAAAAAACAAAATATCACTGAAAGTATATTATGTTCTAAATTATACACTTATTTTTCAATTGTTTTCAATATCTTATTATTATTATTACTATTATTATTAGCCTATTATTAATATTATTACTATTTAATGAACATTGGGCATTGCAAAAAAATAATAATTGAGGGACATCTACACTAGAATAAGTATTAAACAATGTAAAGTTGTTTTGATATTTATTGATCCACAACATTCCTAATATTTTACCTTTGCATTGCAGGTCGTCTACTTCACATCACTGTTTCCATATCTGGTACTGACAATATTCTTTGTGAAAGGAGTAACATTAAAAGGTGCTGGAGCAGGTCTCCAGCATATGTACACTCCAAAGGTATGAAAGCTATATTATTTGGAACATTAGAATGCTCTTAAAAATGTACATTCCAGTGCAATGTTAGATAATTCAAAGAGTGTCCAATATCTGAGTTTCATCATTCATTTCAGGTGGAGAAACTACTGGACCCAAAAGTGTGGCTAGATGCTGCAACACAAGTATTTTATTCATTTGGCATTGCTTTTGGCTCTCTGATTGCTTTTGGAAGCTATAATCCTCCTAAGAATAATTGTGTTCGCGATGTAATTTTGGTATCCATCACCAATGCATTTACTGCCATATATGCCAGTGTGGTGATATTTGCCATTCTTGGTTTCAAGGCCGTTGCAAATGTGGAAAAATGTAACTTAAAGTAAGTTGATTATTTATAGTAAAATATTTAATTACATTTATGGAAGTCAGTTCAATGTATATAGTTACTAAAAAAAACGCAGTATGAGTTCAGTAAAATTTCTTTAATTTTCTTATATTTTCACTGAATTTATTTTATATTGTTCAACATTAATTATTACATTATGGAATTTAAAAAAGTATCCCAGAAAGACTTTGTTAAAGACCCAAAATGTATGGTGAATGATTAAATCTTCTAATTTCCATCCAAAATGTGTCAATAAAAGGTTGATTCCATGAGGGCACTTGTGTTGATTTCACAGAATATTATTCACACATTTGCTCCCAATCTCTGTTCGTACAGAATGTTCTCATATCTGCAAGGAACGTATGCGATTATTGTTGGATATTTTTAAGAATCTTTCAATTGAGACCCGTCCATAAATTACGTGACGCAAACTCTTGAATATTTTGAATACTCTCTCCCCCGAAACACATCGGTTATGCGCGCTTGAACCGTGTAATTACGAAACGCTTGCGACAAGACCCGCCCACCATTTTCAGCAAGTATAAGTGAATTATAAAGCAGCGAGTTGAATTAATTTTATTTGTTACTTTCGTATCTTAATATTTATGAAAGCCATAATTACTTGGCGAAGAGGACTGCACCTACATCAAGATTGGGGTCAATTTTTGAATGAAGGGGAAAATTTCTGACAGCGAGCTGTGCACAAGCCAAAGGATGACGCTTGGCCTGCGAATACACTGCGTCAATTCAATGTTCTAAAGATTTTTTATTGATTGATAATTCAGATCGGGTCACGTGCTAAGGTCATTAGTCCCGTAAGTACTATGCATATTTTCATCTCCGGAGATGGCGGTTATTTTCCCTAGGTGGCTGGCGAGATCCGGCACATCGACTTGCGGGGATTTCCCCAACCAGGTACCAACAGTGGGGCACCGCCCCAGCCGGGACAAGCTCAGGTCTTCCGACAAGTGCGATAGTGTACTGCATGTGAGTGTGTAAGTAAAGGGTGAGGATACGACAAGAAAGAGGAAGGAAAGTTAGCGTGCGGTTCGTGACCCCGTTTGTTAGGGCATTGCTCCGACATTCGACTGGTGTTGATCGTAAAAAACACGGAAAACTACCTATCAAAGTAGCCGGCCGCTTGAGTTCTCCTCCAGTTGAATTCGATCGAAGAGTGTGTCGGAAATCCAGCAACTGTCGGGACTCGAAACTAAGACCTCCCGATTAGACGCGCTGCAGTGACATCAGTTAATCCTGAGCCATCTTTGCCGGTTATTTGTCTATAGATAAGTTTCGACTATTTTCTTCATAATCTAACAGATTCATACCATTGATGAAAGAATATTTCCGTTTAATGCAACAATTTATGTATCATAATTCTTAATTTATTTACATTTTTAATTTAATATTTTAGCAATATTGTAATACTTTATAGAATACTGAATAAAAGGAATTATTTCAGCAAATGTGTGAAAAGTAAATATCAACATTACGCAACACTAAACTACGACCCCTTCCCCTCTGTAACGTAGTTACTTTAATACTCTCTAGCGTTACGTATTTTATGGAGGACGTCGACGAATAACTTTCTTCATTACTTGCTAAAACATTTTCAAAGAAAAAGTTGAAGCATTTAAGCATTGTTATAACTGTTCCTAATATTTTTCCGTTTGTCACAAGATGTGTGAAATCAACACTAACCAAAAGACTATGCAAAAAATTATTTATAATGTAAATATTGCGTTTTATACATTATTCTCTAATTTGAGGATTTATATAAAATATTGAAACATACAAGACTATAGTAGAAAGTTTGAAAGATTCAGGATTAATCTTTTCTATTTTGTAATGTCATAAAATCTGTTTATATTCTGATCATTCTGGCATTAATAAATATTTCACTTCAGATGTAACCAATATCTATTAATAATAATTTGTTTTATACAATAATATTAAATTCTTATTATTTTGTCACATGTACAATACATTCTGTATAAGTCAGATTGGTTACCTTAAGAAATAATTATAACAAAAAACGAAAATAATTTTTGCAACATAACTGTATCACAATCAGATTAAATATTTGAATACAATATGATTCATCACTAATACCTACAAAAAACAATTTGAATTTCAGGAACCTAAGATTGCTGAACGTAACTGGAATAAATGTCACTGGCACTGAATATGACGATTATATGAAAGAACTAACTGATGAAGAAAAATCTCATTTGCCTTTAGAGTTCTGTAATTTACAGGAACAGTTGGATCAGGTAAGACTATTTACATTACTACTATTACTATACTTTTCTCGTAATAAAACGTGTCGGTCTTAGAAACTAATCTTCAGAATTTGGAATAAAAAAATGCCTACCAAGACCTTTGGTCTTTGACGAAGAAACGAAAACTTTCCCAAGCTTTCAAATAAGTCCTCAATAGTTTAAGATATCTGAGGTCTTCACAATTGGTAGCACATGTTAAGTTCTAGACACTTTCTATATTATAATTAGTGCTGTACTACTTTAGTTCTTTGAAAATAGAGTTAATTGTAATAAAAGTATTTTTATGTCAGGCAGGATTTAAAGAAAACATTGCTTGTATTGTATTAACGTACAACTGTAGTATGTGTATCGTCTATTTTTCTAAGGTACCAGTCATGTGAGGAGAAACAAATGAAATCTTGGAATGATTAACAATTCAGTGGCAGGTGCTAGGCTATAAATAGAGTAATAAACATTTATGATTACTAGAAAAACAATAAAAAATGTTTTAGAAACATTCACAAAAAAATTAAAAGTTATAAAAAAAATTTGTAATCAGTTTCAATGCGCAACTGTATAGTTACTGGTATGTTCAAAAAAATCTATTACACATCTTTTCATTGGTGTGGAATACGCCTGCTCAACTCGGTGGCTGGCGGAGCAGCCACAAGTGTACTTGCTTCTCACGAGCCCGGGAACTCGCCGCGAGCCGAGTTCTGTCGAATATGCACTAAAATTGTTTTATCATTCCTGTTTCAATTTTTCCCTGCTTAATGCGTACATTCTTGCGTTTCTTAGAATGTAAATAAAGATACATTAAGCAATATTGTTATTTTTTGTTTCAGGCAGCTGAAGGCACGGGATTGGCTTTTATTGTCTTCACTCAAGCCATCGTAGAATTGCCATTTTCTCCGTTTTGGGCTGTTCTCTTCTTTTCGATGCTCTTGGCACTTGGTTTGGGTTCTCAAATTGGAATATTGGAAGGAATGCTTTGCACCATTTTCGATATTGAAATTTTGAAAAGAATACGGAAGCCTTACATTACAGGTATGTTTTCTGAACTCTCGTGATTAGATATAAATCCCTTCCGTATTTAATACGCCGGGAAAGATAATGTTTTGTATGATTAATTTCCGCGTGATGTGTTTCTGCTGGATTGAGAATTACCTTTCAGGAGTGCGTCAAACAGATTCTACAACAATGTGCAGTTCTATACATTATGCAGTTATAGTTTACAAAGAATTAATCAAATTTCTGCTCGTCCTCCGCCACAGTATCAACCTCGTGGATTTTAAAAGTGAAGTGTGGATCGATTTTACCAACATGTCAAAACCAGAGGGACCTACAACGAATAGCCGCGAACGAGATAGCATCGTGTTTATTACCTCAGACTTGTAAGGCGCTTCGTTACACGTGTCCTATTTTATGACTAGGCTCCGGTCTTCGGCATATGCGATGAACATAAAACATTTGTGATTCTGTCACATTTGTGACCCGACCCGACCCGACCTGACTCGATGTTTATGAAATTTTCACGCGCGCTCGCTGCGCTATGCATGGGGATAGCCGGGGGCCCCCCGCAAGACAAGGGGCCCGATGCTGGGATTGATAGGAAAAAATTAGTATAAAATTGAAAAAGAAATGAGAACTCGAGAAAATCGTTATCGTAATTTTGTAAGTCGCGGGACAGTCTGTTAGTTCATAAAATGTTCAATTAATGTTTTACCTTAAATAGTTAATTATAGGCATTACTTATGAGATAGTACATTTCAAAAAATGAGAGTGATATTTACTATATGTAAGTATCTATGAAATGGAAAATATATGTGTAATCAAAAGATGCTAACATTAAAATAGGTTCTACTGAAATTCATATTTATTATTTCCTGTATTTAACAAGTGAGTATATTAAATACTAGCTAACCGCAACAAATTTTTTTAGTGTTTTAAGCTCATCGTGAAATTTGTATTATTTGATCACTAAATACTATTATTTAAAACTATTATATAAAATAATTCCCTTTTTTTACATTGTAATTTTTGTTATTTGTTGAAATAAAATAACACATATAGTTTCTTGATGTCTCTTAACTTTCACAATGTTAATTGAGGGGGGGTGGGGTGGGGGGCAAAATAGACATCAGCACTCTCTCATTCCTCCAGGGCTAACAACCTTGTGGGATAAAGATCAGGATGCAGCTAAAATGCTGATCCCCCCCAGAAAGGTTCTTGCATCTGCTAAAGCACGATGCATCTGTGGTCCAAGTTGGCCTATACGTGAGAAAAAATGATACAAAAAATCTCTCTAATTCTCTAATCAGAGTTCTGGTTAAATATTTAAATTCCACCACTAATAAAACCAATTTGGTGAATTATTAATTGACTCACTAATATTCAGGCAGTTTACAGAAAAAGTTAAAGAAATAATTTTGTTTACAACTGTATATTTCCTTTCCCATCTTGCGAATCATTCAGAAACTAAAATGAGTGCTCATATTTTGTGTTTAATTTTAATGTACAATTTTATTAAATCTATTGTAAATTATTATTTATTTGTCTTTTTCAGGATCAGTATGTCTCATTTGCTTTCTGGTAGGCTTCATTTTTTGCACTGGTGCTGGCGAATATTGGTTAAAATTGTTTGATTCATTTTCGGGAACTATTGGTCTTGTGCTGGTAGCATTTTTGGAAACTATTGCAGTAATGTATGTTTATGGGCATAAAAAGTAAGTTTTATAATTACATTTTTTCTTTTGTTCTGTTTCTATCAATTGTTTATGTTACTGATGTTTAAAAATATTTTTTTTCTATTAATCCAAGGTTTACTCAAGATATTGAAGATATGACTGGCTACCGACCTGGATGGTACTTTCAAATTACCTGGAGGTTACTGGGACCTCTCTTAATGGCCATAGTTTTAGTTTCGTCTATAGTAGACATGATTATCAAAAAACCACAGTATGGAGCATGGGATGCTAGTGAGGTACATGCAGTTTCAATTTATTTTAAAATTTGTTAAGTTTATGTGTTCAAAAGTGACAATTACTAATATAGGTGTTCATTACAATATTTAAAATAGTCCTTCAATACTGTAATTAGTATTGTACTAAAGTTTTGTACTGTATGTGGTGATGTTATCTTTTGTAGGGCAAAACAGTAAACACAGATTATCCTGACTGGGTTATGGTAATAGCAGGCCTTATGATAACAGCTGGGTTATTACCAATTCCAATTGTATTCTGTCTGAGACGATTCCAGTGCCTGAAATTTGATGTGAATATTCACCAAGGATCAATCAGAAGGATTGACACCACAGTTTCTACTAAGGAAATGATGGGAGATGTTGATGTGAGTATCAGTACACCCAAATTGTAGCTCAATTGTTCTCACTCAACAATTGCATTATGTTTCATGCCAAAAAAATCACCTCTCTTATGTAATACACAACAATTTTATCTTAAATACTTGGCTCCTATGTAATTAAAATATGAACTGTACAAAAGATAACTACTAAAAAGCTACAAGCACTACCAAATCAAATCTAATTATACGAAGTTAGTTTTCACAGAGATGAAGAATCAAAAGTAATTAATCTAATAATGCCATTTTTCTAAACTGTACAAAAACAAAAATGACAAATACGGCACATATTATTACAATTTTTATCTATTTACGTATCTGAAGAAACATAATTCCTTTTGCCTCCATAAAAAGTGTGTTGGTAGTGTTACTAATGTTGCTTGCCAAATCCTACCATTAACAGCACAATTTTTACATAAAAGAATTCTTGTGTTTCTGTTTTGGGCTTGAATTGCTTAAGGACTGATTTTTATGGCATAAGTTCTTGCTTTTTACTATCCTTTTTGTATTAACATTTATTTTGTGTTTTCATGACAGAAATGACTTGTTGACATTATTTCATTGTTATTGATAAATTACTGCACAAAAGTACAACTTATTTTTTGTAATTTTGAATAAGTGAATGATATATCAATATTATTTTCATATTCACAGCACTGTCTGTCATGTGGGCACATATCATACTGATATGAAAATTTCTTAATTGATGTTGAATTTTAACTTTTGTCAAGTTCTGTCTGAAATCGGAATAATTATTTTAACAATTGTAATTTAACAAAGAGTACATTAACAAAGTTATCTTTGCTTGCTCTTCCTATGTGTCCATCTTAGTTATAGGCTGACATCTTGGAGCAACCAACACTTCCTTGCTCAGACGTTATGTGATTCATCTCATATCTCGTCATTTTTAACCATAATATTTAAGCAATTAACAGAGATGATCATGTGAGTTGCATTCAAAAACTTCTTGAGAATGCTGAAGGGAATGTATGTTTGCCACGTACATTTAGTTTAGTGTCAAATCCCTATGAAGCATAAATCTCTAGCATGCAACCAACAACTTCTCCCCTTGTCAGCAATACTTAGCTTCATGTTGTAGCTGTCATATATTTTAGTATACAGCTTATGACAGGAATTGTTGGATCATGTCACTATTGCTTCATTTTCTATTGCTGAACACATTAGTGTAAATATTTACAAAAATACAATTCTTATAAAGGTGAGCTAACGAAAAAAACAAAAAACAAAACAAAACAAAAAAAAATTGCTATTGGTTTAAATAGAGCTGATTGACACCTGTGAGAATCTAGGGAAAGGATCATCCTTACAGGTACATACACTCTAGGCTTCTCAAATACAACTCATTTTCATAAATCTGTAATAAAAGTCTATTAAATATTGTAAACGTATGAGAAATGTGAAGAATGCAATTTATGTGTGACATTTCTCTGAATTTAACTTTATTTTTATGAACCATATTTTGTATTCATGAAAGACAAATTTTTTACTTTGACATCTTTCCGTTTACTATTTTTAGCAACCTCATCTTCATTCAACACATTTTGTTTCCATTTTAATTTTTATTTTTACCTTTTCTACTGCTTCTGCTAACTTTTATGTTTTTAACTTCCTATTTTAGTTTTCTTTCATAAAAATGTAAACAAAAAAATATTACATAAGGGAAAAAAAATAAAGTGAAAAAAACAAGCTATTGGTGCTGTCTACAATAGCACACAGTTTGTTGCGTTATGATTATTTGTTACTTTTGCAATTTTCAATTATTTTGAATGTTTAATGAAAATGAGACTTGTATAATTTTTGAAGAGTTATTTGTGCTATTCGGGGAAAACTTTTAATAATAAAAAAAGTCAAGCCATTTCTGAGAAAACTTTGAAAATGTTTTTGAGTCTTTATATAAAGTACCACCAAAATAAAAATATCAGTTTTAATCTCGCAGGGCGTCGAATTCAGTTTATTGATAGTGTAATATCAATTGTGGAAAAAATAGTCTGAACAGTTTAGGCGTTGTGCCGTTACCAAATCAATTTTTCGGTTTCAAGGACTCGCAAAACTTGAATTCTGAATACACAAAGTATTAGAAAGAATCATGTACTACGTAGAGGAAAAAAATATTTATCTATTTCTTCGACATCAAGGCCCCCAAATACGAGTTTTTCTATCGTAAAATCGCTTATTTCTGCCGCAGCCTTAGAAAACTTTCTCTTACGCTCGCTACCTAAGAAGTATGCGAGAAAGTCAAGTGATGCTCTAAAATGCAAGTAAAGCACAAAACTTATCGCACTGAATCTTTGTTATCAGGAAACAGTTCCACTAAATCAATAAAAGTAATTTGTGTTCACAGTCTCTTTTACAAATGTTTTTAAAAGATTTGTGTAATTTTACTAAAATAGTATACATTGGTCCCTACAGTTGCCCGCACCAAAAGATGCACCCTATTCACCATCTAATAGTCAAGAATAAATAAAATATTTGTGCTAAAGCTTAATCACTAGAAATCATACAATGCTCATCCAAGCAATAGGATTCATGTTTTTTGCCCAGCACTATACCGAGTTCAATCGCAACTAGCAACTATTGTATTCGGCGGTGAGATTTACGTCAATTGCTACGGCCACAGATATTTAGTACATGTACCTATATCTATACATAGTGCTTGATTTATAAAATTTCAGATCACAGAACACGCCCCAAATTAAATTGTTAATTTAATAGAAGTAGTTATATGTTTGTAATATAATTTAAAAATTATTCCCGACGTTCCGGAATGCCGCACCGCCAAAAATAAAATAAACCCGTCTATATCATCTATATAATATAAATGAAAGGGAATGTGCATATGTGTGTCGCACATAAACGCAAAAGCTACTCAACAGAATTCGCTGAACTTTTCACCCTGTGTGTCCACCCCCCCGGCCCTGATGTCTACGCAACCCGCTAAACAGCCAAGGATTAAGCGCGTTTTCACGGTATATACGTATCCCCCCTGCGATTGTAAAATATCGGTCGGAATTATTTCGTAAATCTCTGACAATTATATCAAATTTCTCCAAGATAGTGTCATAGTGATCACGTGACCAAATTTGAGAGAGAATGTTTTAACAATGGGATACATGACAACAATTTCCGAACCATGGCATAGAACAAACACATACTTCTGAGAAAGTCTTTTGACTACAAGAATGTTTGCATAGAGTAGCGTAAAATGGTCACGTATGCTGTACTATCTGTGAACTGCGACATGGTTCACATACTCGAAGATTGCCGGAGAAATGCCCGTGCTGTAGCTGCAAAGTACACCCAGAGATACTCGAATCTCCTCGCGCCACGCATTTCTGAACACAGACTCTCTAACTCGTTAATATGGCGAGTTACCACGCCTATAAAAATGCCGACTCCGTGAATGGAAAAGTTGAATGAAAGAATGATGAATAAACGAAAGAATTGATTAATGAAAGAAGGAATGAACGAACAAATTAATTACTAATGGTACGTACACGTAACATTGAACTAATGCTTTCGTACCCCTTCATAATTGCCTCCCCCAAGCAGCATATTATTATGAACAAGCTTTGTACAATATATGCGAACATTCAGCGTGACTTGAAAATATTTTAGATAACTTGTCTTTTGAGGCTTGTCAAGAGAATTGTAATACACAGTGCAAAAGTGATCGTACATGTAGGAAATGATAAAAAAATCAATGGAATATGGACAGAGTAATAGAGAAATATAAATATTAGAATTATAACTTCTGCAGAAAACATACTTTTTATTCTCTCACAACAGCTCAAAGCATCACAAAATCCTAATATTTACAAATAAATAAAATGTAATAATAATAAATGAAAATACTTGCAGGCACAAAAAGTCATGGTTCATTTATATTTAACAAACGTATTTCATTATTTAATACAGAGTAGGATTTCCTGTTTTGATAACTGCCTCCTGCCTTCAACCTGCAACACCTGCAACACCCCGTGAACATAGGATATATCCAGGGATATCTCCCTGGATATATCCAGGGGGTGTTACTTCATGACATAGATTCCTCATTATTACTAGACTGGCAACGTCCTATCACAGAACAACACCTGTATCTTCATCCATAGCTAGCATTGACTCTAGTGAAACCATCATCTTGCGCTCGTCGCCATCTTATGCCACTATAGTATAGATTCGTTCGCTTGTCAGTATTGTATATGTTATTTATGAGCTTCTTTCTTTATTTTAATTAATTTCTATTAATTGAATCCAATTCTTTAATTCAATTTCAATTATTATTTTTATTAAGTAGGTTAATTCAATTAAATGCCCTATTTCAAATTTAATTCTAACTTAAACTTTATTATTGTGAAGAAACAAGGCAACCAAGTGGGGTTTATTTCAATGCTGTATACACCCGTCAAATTAAATGGTATCTGTAAACAAATACTGTAATTAACTTTAGGGTCAACTGACATCCATCTCAATCATCGTTTCCCTTGACCCATAGAGCAAAGATGATCCCTTGGCTTTGCCTCTGAATTTTTAAATGTAGCTTTTATCATCGTCATGATTATCAGACACCGACTGAGACTAGTGCTGTTTTTGACATTAAATAAACACAAAAGTGGTTTAAAAAAATTGACATCAATAGTCTTATATCCTTAATATTAGTTTCCATTTAATATTCCAGTTTTTCTCAACAGCAATGTATTGAAAACATAGGTTTATATATAGATTTCTTAGGGACCATTGACTTAGGCGTACAGCATTTATATGCCTTGGAGCAGGTTTGCCCAACTGGCGGTCCACGGTGTCAATTATTTTGACCTGCGAAAGGTTGTCTGATATCACGCATGCCCCCCCACCCCCCTTCCCCGCGCGCTTCATAGCAGCCGGGAAAACTGCCGAGGTCAACCATTGGGGAAGTCAGGCGTGGTTCGCCCAAGTAATGAAAATATGGCCCACAACCATATTAAGGTTTT